CAGTCTCTGTAGGATCCTCTTGCTCTTGTCGTCGGTGCAGAAGTCAGACAGGATGGTCCTGTGGACCAGAACCAGGCCGTTCAGGAACAACCAGGACCCGAACCAGAGCAGAGCGAAGACCAGTGTCCCCCGACGAGACCACAGCCTGAGGCCCAGCCACCGGAGCAGGCACAGGCCGCCGCCGCCACGACCCCCTCCGCCGGACCCCAGCCCTCCTGGGAGCATGGCGGTGGATGCTGCAGGGCGCCGTCAGTCAGAAACGATCCTCAAAGCGTCCTCTGAATATTCAGCTAGGAACAGATTCTGAAACATCCGAATGTTTCAGTACGTTTGATTTGTAGTTTCGTAATGTTGAATGTTCCCTTTAAAAGTTCAGATCGTCTCTCGTAAGCGAGACAAACTCTGTGTCACTGCCATGTTCCAGTCCGAAAACAAGAAGCAGGTGTTCGCCGGCCTCCTTTCAGAGCGATGCTCTTCTGTGATGTCAGGTCCAGAGCGTCGCTGGACACTCAGTGACCCACCAGTTTGTCCTGAAAGAGCCTGAAAACGACACGACAGTCTGTGCTCATCACAGACACACAGCCCAGCTCTGCAGGAACGATCTGAAGCTTTGTTTGTGCTCGATGCCGTTGTGTTGTTTCATATCCAACCTGCTGATTTATTTTCCACTCACAGAGTCAGCGAGAGAAATCCGAGGAGTCGCCTTCGAGCTCCGTGACACGGGCGTCCGAGCTCGTCTGCAGCGCCGTGTGGCATCTGCACGCACACTCGCTCAGCCCCACAGATCTGCGTCTCCACTGTCCTCGCGTCACCTCCTCGTGGCGTCGGCAGCTCTTGTGGTCGTCTCGCTGTCGAGCTGAAAAATGTCCCTGAAAAACATTCAGAGAGAAAAAAGTTGAACAGACTGCAGCTCTGGATTCTGGAGACGAGGATTTAATGAGAGGAAAAACAGAAAGTGAATTCATACAAAGAAACAACAGTGAGGAAGACCCTGATGAAGCTGTGAGAGGAGGGATTTGAATCTAAAGAAAGGACGGCAGGCGGCATTCAAGGAAGTTCCCAGAATCAAACATTCAATTTCAGGAGCTTGTCATGTTTTAAATCACGAGTTTTTAAAAAGCCATTCCTCCAGAAACGGTGACATCTCCAGAACGTTTAAAAGGAAGGTTCTCTTTCCCCACCGAAGAGCGCAGATGTTTCTGTAGACAAAGCTCACGAACGCGTCTTCTTCATCTGCTTGAGGAAGCCTGAGAGCTGCTCGCCTGGGTTCATGTGCTTCCTGCTCAGTGACAGAGCAGCGCCTTCGTTTGTAAATGCTGCAGAAATGTTGCAGAGACTCATTAAAGCTTGTGGCTGCGGTCGCTCTCTCTGAAGCATCCGGGGCATGAAGAAACCCGACAGCCGCAGCAGAAACACAAACATGTTTGAGAGTCAGGCGGTCAGCAGAGCTCGCTGGGATCAGAAGTCCAGATGATGAGCACCATCCAGGTGTTGTTGATGGGAGGCTGGGTGGAGGAGAGGACGCTGCTGCAGACGGAGCAGCTGATACCTGCTCCTCTCCACTGGCGGGTGGATGTTCGAGTTCTCGGAGTTTGGTTTTGAACATCGATGTACTTCGAGCCACTTTTCTGAAATTAAAGCAGACGGCAGCGTCTCTGAAATAAACCGACCCTGCCAGAGCGTAAACACCTCCATAAATCATGAAGCGCTTTAATGATGCTGCGTACTTGGTGGGAAACAAACGACAGCAGTTCTCAGCAGAGATTTTACAGCTCGGCAGGGGCGGATCTGCTCTGAGATGCAACGTCCTCCTCAGAGGGGCCGCCATCATTTTTTACTAGCAAATATTTTACTACACTTGACTTCACTGCGTTAGCACGGATTTCACACGCTACACGAACAGCTTGTGTCTGTATGTTTGCAAAGGACTCCAACTGTGGACAAATGAAACGCTCCGACGACGACAGCTTTACGGCACACACAGAATTCCCAACGGCGGTGACAAACGACAGCATCCTCTGGCAGTCACTCGACTGTGGGGAGGAAGAACTCCATTTTAACAGGAAGAGACATCTGGCCGAGCAACATCTGCAATAACTGGTTAAAGGGAGACAGGAAATGGGGCTGGGGGTGTGAAGAGTGCTTAGTGCATCATGGGAAGTCCCACAGCAGGCTGACGTCATTAGCCAAACAATGCACTGTTTGTCCATCACTGTGGAAACAGATGAGGACAAAACTAACCAGCAGCTTGTTTCTGGTTGAGAGGCCGACAACAGCCACAAAGGATTTCTGTGGCTTGTTTAAATTAAATAAAAGAAGATTTGAAGCTTTGAATGAAAAGCTTAAACAAAGGCTGAAGGTGACACCAGTACCTGATTGATATTCGAAGGAAATCCAAGGAAGCTGGAAGAACTCTTCCAGACACTAAACCAAGGCACAATGTACATTTCAATTCCTTTAATTTTAAATATGTTTATATTGTCTATCCTGTAAAATAGTCAGATGTCTATTCATATTAATGTACAGAATTCACCTGCTTGCTGCTACTACTGCACATTCACCCAGTGTATATACTATATGTGTATATATAATGTTCTTCCTCTACAGCCCCCCCCCAACTTTTGCACATGTCGAGGAGCGTGTCAGGCTACATTTCACTGTGTGTTATACTTGTATAACTATGCATGTGACAAATAATAAAGAACCTTGAACCTTGCATCGCTAGAACTGTTCACCAAGCATGAAGTTCATTTTGATGCGAGGAGCAGAGCACAGCCATTCATCACTCTGGAGGCGGCCGATACATCACAGTGTGGATCAAGTTTATAACTGAGCAACACATTTAAGCTGAAATCTTCCTTTTTCTTCAGCAGTGATGACTGATACAAACAACAGACTCATTAAGAAATCAATTCTGCTTCGGCTGGACGTGCCTGGAGCTCGCAGCAGGTCTGCATCCATCGATGCAACAGGTGCTGAAGCTCTGCTGCCCTGCAGACCATCGTCACTCACAGAGCGCCTGCTGGAGCTTCTCCCACAAACGTGTTTGAGCAGCAGCTGTTCGAGCGTCGCTGCACTTCTCACGATGATACCAGTGCGTTTGCGTTCCTGTTGTTCTCACTGAAACACTAAAGCGCAGCTCCAGGTCTGACTGTGACAGGGCATAAACAGCACTTTTACTGGGCGTGTCTGAAGTCTGAAATGATGCAGTGACCTTGATTTACACTGAAAGAGAAATAAACAGAGACGATATGAAATCTTGCCGCTCACCGTTAAACTGTTGTGTCGACGCTCAGGAAGCTCTGCAGCCGGCTGCCATGACAAAAGCCTCCAGCCAGGCTCAACTCATGAAAGCTTTTCTTCCAGATGACTAAACCTTTGCACAAACGTGCACACTGGCACTTCTTCTGCTCTTTTTTCCCTCCGCTGGTGTTTCTTCTCGCCCCCTCAGGTGATGATGACTTTCCCTGTCTTCTTATTTTAAAGACTGAAATAATCCCAAAGTTTTCCTCTGAGCTGATGAGACTCCAAAATGTGCAGCAGCTGCTGAAACGATCCACCCAGCCACCCAGCAGACCTGAGGTCTGCAGCTCCTCCACTCTTCTGTGTTTCAGCAGAAACTCTCGGCTGTGTCTCTGAGAGCAGCAGGAGGTGCAGGTTTCTGCTGCACCTGGGGACGAGGGGGTCTGTGAGCCCTGACTCCGGTCTGACAGGCAGCCGCCGCTCCGGCACTCCTCCGCTGTTCCAGAGCCGCTGGTTTCTCCTCAGAGTGCTGCCTCCTCCTGCTCCTCCTCGCTCTCTCAGTGTGCCGCGCGCGAGAGAGAGAGAGCGTGAGTGTGTGTGTCTCTCTCTCTCTGTGTGTGTGTGTGTGTGTGTGTGTGTCTCTCTCTGTGTGTGTGTGTCTCTATGTGTGTGTGTGTGTGTGTGTGTGTGTCTCTATGTGTGTGTGTGTGTGTGTGTGTGTGTGTGTGTCACTGTGTGTGTGTGTGTGTGTGTGTGTGTGTGTGTGTGTGTGTGTGTGTGTGTGTCGCACTCAGGCTTGTTCGTTCAGCCTCGTTCCCTTCCTTCCTCCCTTCAGTCTGCTTCCTCTCTTTATTCCTCAGCTGTGTTTGCTCATGTTGTGGGACAAAAAAGTCCGATGAAGCTTTAAAGCAGCTCCTCCTCCTCACCCCCCTTCTCTTAAATACTCTTATACTCCCCCTCCCTCTCTTCTGCAGCTCTACCGAGGCTCGCCAAATTAAAAGCTCTCCCCCCATTTATCTCCCTTTCCTTTTCTGTCCCGGCCTCCCTCCCTCTGCTGGGGGGCGCAGCTCAGAGCCTCGTGGCGTGTTCGTAATTGCCTCATTTGTAAAAAAGCCAATAAAGTTGTGCGAACATAAGAAGAGGGCAGCAGCAGCTCCATGCTTTGTTTGACGCCTCAGGGTCCAAAATTAAAGGTGCATTTAGTTATTTGTGGCCACTAGAGGGCAGAAAAGCCCAAACATGCTGATGGATAAACGGGTCTAATAATTACAGGTGTTGGTTTTTATTATCTTTATTCAAATTCCCTCTGACATGTGTGAAAATGCAGATATGTCAAAATACAACGTGAAACAGAAGAGAGACTTCACACAGCTTTGAGCTGCATTCACTCCTCACGCCCAGCGTTTGCTCCTCACAGAACTTAGTTTGAGTTCTTTTCATTTTTCTGTGATTTATTGAAGGATAATCGATGTTTAAAGACAGCTCAGAAAAAACGTTCAAAATTCAGCTGAGACGTGGTGACCTTTCTTCTTTAGAACGTCTGCAGGTCTGTGCATGCTGAACATCAGCCTCTGAGCCAACCGCTGACTGATGGGGATGCCACAGCTCCACGCTGATCACAGGTTTCAGCTTTTTAAGCACTGACCACACCACAAACATCCTCGATGACCAGCCTCTCCCACAGATCCAGGAGCGTTCTGGAGTCTGTGCATTTTCCAGCCTGATGGAGCGCCACGTCTCGAGGCTAAACTCAACACTAAGCGGCTCTGAGATCAGAAAATTAACAATTTGCATCCGAGGCCAGGAAACTCCCCGGTCTTTAATCCCATTGAGAATCTGTGCTCAGTCCTTAAAAGGTGACTAGAAAAGTCTGCAAACTGATCATCTGGGTTTTCTGATGAAGCAGGAGTGGATCCAGCAAACCAAAAGATGTGTGGCCACGACCGTGGGAGGCTGCTGGAGCGCTGCTGGTGTTCAGAGGCCAGAACTATCTGTTATAAACTTAACAGAGCTGCAGCAGACTCAGCATCATCCCTGTGACTGGTTATCAAGCTCTCACCTGCACCATAAGGAGCTGGTGACAGAGCTGACGTAGAAGTTAAATAGTCTTTTTATTCCATTTACACTTATTCATATTTTCCAGGTTCACTTCCTGCCCCGCTCAGAGCAAAGCGAGCGTCACTAACAGCAGGAGATCAGAAAGCATTAAAGGGGAGGTGGGTGGAGGTGGACGTGGTTGCAGAGCAGCAGCACCTGTATACAGGCTGAAGAAGGTTAAATAATCTGAGATTAGCAAACCTGAAACACACAATAAAGAAAGCTGAGCTGCTGTAAGACGGCACCGAGAGGCTCCGGTGATTTATGTTTCATATTTTTATAAAGCACAACCACCACTAACTGAGCTGTCCCTCTGATGGACTCAGAGGGACAGCTCAGAGTCAGACAGGCTGAGATGGAGGAGGGAGGATGGTGAAGATGGAGCTGCCAGGCAGGAGGAAACATCTGACATCATCTACTGGAAATGCTGTCAAACCTAAACGACGACTGTTCTCAGCGAGTGACAAAGTAAATCTGTGATGTTTGTGCTGTTGCTCCTTTAACTGAACCATCATATATCTCCTGAACTGAGTTTGCAAACTAACCTGAAGTGTTACTGAGATCTTCATCATTCCTTTAAATAATCGCTGATGCGCAATCTGAATGTGAGGAAGATCTGAGCTATTTAAACCAGGTGACACATTACATCAGGTAAATCCTCCAATCAGGACACAGAAAGCGTTCTGATATCAGACTGAATGATCGGCTCACTGCAGTCTGACTCAGAGGGGAGGCTTAAATGGGTCCTAGCAGTGTAAACTCACTACACTTCTATCAGAAACTGATGCTGAAAGCTGAAAATTGGTGCCAGGTGTGGAAAGTGCAGCTCGTCACGCTCAGAGGAAATCCGACAAAACAAAAACGAAACTTTGTCCCAACTAAACCTGCAGGAGAAGCCCAGCAGAGCTCCGCGTCGCTCTAATTGCCAATTAGACCTGCAGGCTGTGCAGCCTCTGGCACTCCATCTCAGCTGAGCCTCCTTAATAACTGCAGCAATTACCCGAGGCCTGCTCATTAGGCCCAGCTTCTTAACTCACAGGTACGTCCTCAAAAAGTTCATGTCTCAGCACATTTTAACCTTCAGGTTCAGGTTTTGTTTTGCAGGAGAGAAGAAAAAGAGAAAGTACCCACGCTGTTTAAACCAGGAGGGACGTGGAATAATCGGCTTCACCTCCTGCAGCCGCCCTTCAAACGCTCCCTGAATGCATCACTGAGATCATCTCCGTCTACACCTTGGACAGGTCGCCTGCTGATTACTGGAGATACAGATGTTGTGTTGCAGCACCTCCTATTGGTCAGATACGACAGTCACAGGGAGTCTGCGTCCATATTCAGAACGATTCTCCCAGTTCACCTAAAAATATCATCAAAGAGCTCGAAACCTTTCCCTGTGTGAGAGTGTCAGAATTAAAATGCTGTTTAATAATAAATAAACCTGTGATATGTCTGAACGCGGTGATTCACCTCGTGCTGGGTCACCTGAGCAGCAGTTTGTTCCTCAGGTGTGATTGGATCTTCGTCTGGAGAGGAGGAGGATCCTGCAGATGGACCTGAAATCTGCTGTCTGTTATAACCAGGCTAAACTTTAACCTGAAATGGTTGAAAGCACCTGAAATATCTAAAAATACTAGAAGATTCTGACCTTACAAAGCAAAAATACAAACAGATGAACGTCTTTTCTTAGCTGGATCATCCGTTTGCTCAGACTCTGGGTGTCTCCATCACTGTGAGTCAGCTGCTCTCACAGCCTGTTCTTATCATGAGAACTTATCCCAACAACCCCCCTCCTCCTCCTTCTCCTCCTCATGATTTAAAAGTAACAAAAACTAAACAAAACCAGCTCTTCCATTCATTTACCTTCTGCGGGCAGTAACAGAGGAAACCGCTCAGCTTTTATAGATGAAGAAACCGCCGTCACTCTTATTTATTAGATCCCTCTGCTGGTGAAGGTCAGACTCATCACTGCTGCCAAACACCTGCACTGTTATTGGACCGGAGACGTCCTGTGACCACGTTTAAAGTTTCCACGTTAAACAAATAGAAAGAAAAAACTAAAGTGTTGGATTTCAGCTGCAGCAGCAGAAATATTCCACACGATCAAAGACCCACAAACAACACATCACGTTTACATTTACTCTCATTATAAACAAACACAGATGCAAAGGCACGTCTTTAAAAATGTTCATGAGAGAAATCAAAGTCCACGGAGGTGTGAGGAGCTCCTCCCCCTCACGGACAGGCACAGGTAGGTGGAGGAGGGCGGTCCCTACAGTCTCCTGGGTGATGTCATGATATGAATAATTGAGCAGAGCCAGGCTCAGTGCAAAACTGCTCACGGATGATCTGAGGACTCAGCACGCTGATGTTTCAGGTGACGCGCCGACTCTGCTGAAACCCGGTGCAGACAAAGAGCCGCAGATCCACAGACACGTAGCCTCTTTGTGCCCGAGCGCACACGGGCGCGGCGGCTCTGCGAGCACAAACAGAAGTGCTGGGAAATCAAGTCTCGCACACAGAGCGCCGGCCCCGGAGATTAAGCGGCTCATCGGTGTTTGTCTGCACGGCGAGGCCCGCTCAGGTCCTGAAACAGCGACGCGCACAGTTTTGGAAACAACAGCTGAGCGAACCATCGCTGATGCATTACAAGTCTCACACTTTAAAACAGGCACCGGCGCCGTTCTGCACTTCTTAAATCGACAAATGTTCATATTTTTATGTAGAAATGTGTAAAATGTCATTTTTTGGAGAAAAGATAAACTCTGAACGCCCTTCACTTCCCCCTGGGCCTGTTCAGGTTCAGCTCTGCTCCTGGATCCAGGACCTTCAGCAGAGAAGCCAACAGTGACGGGATTTGGGAGTCTTCGTTCTCGTTTAGCCACCACTAGTGAGCCCACTGAAACTATTAGAATTTAAAAATACGCTCATGTAAAGTGTTAAAAATAAGTCGTGTAAAATGGTGATTTGGTGCTTTATAAATATTTCAAATAGGACAAAATGCTGATTTTACAGCAGCAACATTATTGTATCTCTAAAGTTTAAACATTTAATAAACTTTGTGTCTGCACAGAGTGGATCAAACAAATTGAATCATCATAAATACTTCATTTTATATTGATTACTTTATTATTATAGCACCAGGAATACATGACAAGGGGAGTATTCTGATGCAAACTCGTGGCTGTAGTATAAACAGTATTCTGGAGATGGTACAAAACGATTACTCATAACATTGTGCTGTAAGGACACGAGGAGGAAACAGGAGCTGTGTGAGGCTGGATTAAAAAGAGCACAGGCCTCAGTGACACAGGTTGTGGCGTTGCAGAGGTGTTCAAGGATAACAACAACACAGCTGCAATGTTCTAACATTTTTCTCTTATAACTTTATTATGGATTAGGTGCAAGAATTTTTAAGTGTGGATGATTAAATAATACTTTAACGCAACAGTAAACTGTGCCTTGTTCTCAGATGGGCAGCAAGTGGAGAGTGACAGATGAGATGAGGAGACGAAGGAGGAAGAGAGGCACAGAGTGAGGCACAGAGTGAGGCACAGGGTGAGGCACAGAGTGAGTCACAGAGTGAGGCACAGGGTGAGGCACAGGGTGAGGCACAGAGTGAGGCACAGAGTGAGTCACAGAGTGAGGCACAGAGTGAGTCACAGAGTGAGGCACAGGGTGAGGCACAGAGTGAGTCACAGAGTGAGGCACAGGGTGAGGCACAGGGTGAGGCACAGAGTGAGGCACAGGGTGAGGCACAGGGTGAGTCACAGAGTGAGTCACAGAGTGAGGCACAGAGTGAGTCACAGAGTGAGGCACAGAGTGAGTCACAGGGTGAGTCACAGAGTGAGTCACAGAGTGAGGCACAGAGTGAGTCACAGAGTGAGTCACAGAGTGAGGCACAGGGTGAGGCACAGAGTGAGGCACAGAGTGAGGCACAGGGTGAGGCACAGGGTGAGTCACAGAGTGAGTCACAGAGTGAGGCACAGAGTGAGTCACAGAGTGAGTCACAGAGTGAGGCACAGAGTGAGTCACAGAGTGAGTCACAGAGTGAGGCACAGGGTGAGGCACAGAGTGAGGCACAGAGTGAGGCACAGGGTGAGGCACAGGGTGAGTCACAGAGTGAGTCACAGAGTGAGGCACAGAGTGAGTCACAGAGTGAGGCACAGAGTGAGTCACAGAGTGAGGCACAGGGTGAGGCACAGGGTGAGGCACAGAGTGAGTCACAGAGTGAGGCACAGGGTGAGGCACAGAGTGAGTCACAGAGTGAGGCACAGAGTGAGGCACAGAGTGAGTCACAGAGTGAGGCACAGGGTGAGTCACAGAGCGAGTCACAGGGCGAGTCACAGAGCGAGTCACAGAGCGAGTCACAGGCAGAGCCCAGTTTATTTTCTACAGTTTTTTGGTTTTTAAAATTGGTGAAACCACAAGGCAACAAATCTTTGCATTTTATTATTGTTCAATCAGCTCCTATTTTAATGTCTGCAGTCTCAGATCAGCACAGCCCCGCCCTGCAGCACCATCAGCAGCAGCAGCAACATTGTACCCATCAGGTGAAACACAGGCTCCGCCCACACTCGCCTGGATACGTCTGAAAACGCTCCGCGTCCACACTGGTGTTTTCAGTCGTTTTCACAGAGTTGTGCGTCCACGTCGCACTGCACTCTGTCCTCCTGCGACGTAAAACTTTCATGAACTAAGATGAGCTTTAAATAACGGGGCTACGTGCGGTGATGCTAGCGTTAGCCACGTTACCTTCACAGGTGGTCAGGCAGGTGCACACTGGGAGGTCCAGCTCTACGTTTCACTGCACCTTCATTCTTCACATGTCTGCGTGGAGCCCAGTGTAAATCCCGGGGCTGAACGGCCTTTGTACAAACACAATGAGTGGAATCGCCCTTTTAAGTGCCAGAAACCATTTAACTCGTTTCTCTTTTCGTGTTTTAACAAACATCTGTTTTTAATATGTAATTCAAAAACGGTGTTTGAGACGAGGTTTTCAATGTTTAATTCTTCTTTTGTGAAATTCATTTTCAATTTGAAGTATTTATTAATGGATTAATAATTCATTTTAAAAATATATTTAAAAATAATGTTTTTATTTAAAATAAAATTATTAAATAAGAAATTACTTTAGTAATGTTGGAATAAATAATGTAAAAATGAATTCATGAATGAATTTACAAATGCAGAATTTATTGTACAATTCATTATTTAAGCACAGATTTCTTTATTTCGATACGTGTGGCTCTTGTGGTCCTCCATACTCTTACTCGTTGATCTCATCCTCCTCGTCCTCAAAGTTCTCCTCGCCGTCGTTGGCGGTGGCTTCCTGGTACTGCTGGTACTCGGACACCAGGTCGTTCATGTTGCTTTCCGCCTCCGTGAACTCCATCTCGTCCATGCCCTCGCCGGTGAACCAGTGCAGAAACGCCTTTCGGCGGAACATGGCCGAGAACTGCTCAGAGATCCGCTTGAACAGCTCCTGGATGGCGGTGCTGTTGCCGATGAAGGTGGCGGCCATCTTGAGCCCTCGGGGAGCGATGTCGCAGACGGCCACCTTCACGTTGTTGGGGATCCACTCCACGAAGTAGCTGCTGTTCTTGTTCTGGATATTCAGCATCTGCTCGTCCACCTCCTTCATGGACATGGGCCCCCGGAAGACGGTGGCCACGGTCAGATAGCGTCCGTGGCGAGGGTCGCAAGCCGCCATCATGTTCCTGGCGTCAAACATCTGCTGGGTGAGCTCGGGAACAGTGAGCGCTCGATACTGCTGGCTGCCCCGCGCTGTCAGAGGAGCAAACCCCGGCATGAAGAAGTGCAGCCTGGGGAAAGGAACCATGTTCACGGCCAGCTTGCGGAGATCTGCGTTGAGCTGTCCGGGGAAACGGAGCGAGGTCGTCACGCCGCTCATGGTGGCTGACACCAGGTGGTTGAGGTCGCCGTAGGTGGGGGTGGTGAGTTTAAGAGTGCGGAAGCAGATGTCGTAAAGGGCCTCGTTGTCGATGCAGTAGGTCTCATCTGTGTTTTCTACCAGCTGGTGCACCGACAGGGTGGCGTTGTAAGGCTCCACCACTGTGTCCGACACCTGACGGACCAAAGACAGACGGGACGTGAGAAGAGGCGAGTCGGTATTTATGTTTATTAAGCATCCGAACAAACACGTTGGGAAATGTGGGACAGATGGACAAAATTTCCTCCTCCTACCTTCGGTGAGGGCATGACGCTGAAGGTGTTCATGATCCGGTCGGGGTACTCCTCCCGGATCTTGCTGATCAGCAGGGTGCCCATCCCCGAGCCAGTGCCCCCTCCCAGAGAGTGAGTCAGCTGGAAGCCCTGCAAGAGAAGTTTCGTCTTACAGTAAACGGTGAGGAGACAGACAACCGGTGCAAGGATGGAGCTCAGTGTCATGAACAAACATGCTGTTCACAGTTTATCCTAAAGGCACCATCACTAGAAAACTGACATTCTTGAACAACCCCAGAAGTCAGTCCACGTTACCAAAATTTCACTAATGAGACAACGGATGGTGTCCTGGGGGGCGTCCTCGCAGATCAGGGCATCGCTGAACTCCTGCACAGTCTGAGGTGTGACCTGGCAGCGTTGCAACGACCGAAACATAACGTCCCAACGGTCTATACGTTATATTTATGATGAAGAACTGAGACTGGATAAAATATTTCCAACATCATACAACATGAGTCCAAATAGATTTGTTAGCATGTAGCGCTAACGTGAACTAAATTCAGCTGAAATTTGAGTCCAAATCATAAACGTGAATCTGCCGGTGAGGAAAAACACAGTCTTGAGAAAACTTTAATGATCCTGCATCTTGTTGTTCAATGAATCGTAAAAACTAAAGCAGGAACGCTGAAGAAGAAAAGGTTTAGCTCCACCCACTGAGGTTAAACTCAGCCAATAAGGCTGCGTCGGTCACATAAAGATGACTCACCTGGAGACAGTCGCAGTGCTCGCACTCCTTCCTCACTATGTCCAGGACAGAGTCCACAAGCTCCGCCCCTTCCGTGTAGTGACCTTTGGCCCAGTTGTTCCCTGCACCTGTCTGACCTGCAGACAGCCAATCAGAAAGGGGAAAATGCATCTGTGAAATGTAAACTGATCACTGCGACAGATGGACACACACACAGTTGCTGGTGGTGACCCATTTCTCAGCTAGTGGACAGTAGGAGTGTGTGTGTGTGTGTGTGTGTGTGTGTGTGTGTGTGTGTGTGTGTGTGTGTCTGAAACCTCTGCTTCATCTTCTGCTCAGACATAGTTTATATAAGAGACGCTGCAGACGTGTCAGTCTGTTTACTCGGACGATTTAATGCTGGAAAGTTTCGCTGCAGCTCGCCGAGCAGGAATTCTGTGCTCGGCCTCGTCAGGTGGGTCAAACACTGCTGCTAAATAAAGACCCGCAGCTCTGCAGGATCAGGATAAAGGATGAGACTAAACTACTTCATAAGTTTAGAGCTGATTGGCGTGTTCTGATCGTGTCTGCTGAGGTTACCAAAGATGAAGTTATCTGGTCTGAAGAGTTGTCCGAAGGCTCCCGAGCGCACGCTGTCCATGGTTCCCGGTTCCAGGTCGACCAGCACGGCCCGGGGGACGTATTTATGCGCTGCACACAGAGGGGAGTGGTTACCTTTGTGCACCAAAGTTGAGCAGGAGTCTAAGTGATCTCATCACCCTGAACGGAAGGTGACTCACTCTCCTCTGCACTTACAGGAGGCCTCGTTGTAGTAGACGTTGACTCTGTCCAGCTGCAGACTTGAGTCACCCACATAGTTCCCTGCGGGGTCGATGCCGTGCTCGTCACTGATCACTTCCCAGAACTGAGCGAGTCACAGAGAGAGAGAGAAGCATTGGTGATTCAGCAACTTCCTGACTCTGTGGTGCGTTCACTGACTCACCGATGTCCAAGGTTAAATGTTTGCTCTAAAACCTTCACAGCTTCCTCCTGAAGGCCAAAAAGTTTAGTTTATAAGAACATAAAAGCTGTAAGAAACAGACTCTCCCACATTTTACTGAAGCCTGAATGCAGCACGCGTCACCCCCTGATTTGAACCATTTCTGTAAATTAAACGGACTTGATCTGACACCTCATACTGCAGCGTGTGAAAACCACCGCAGCTAACTCAGAGCTCTGTTCAATGGGAAGAGGGCGGCTAAAGATGTGTCAAGGACTTCAATTTAATTTATACAGCATCAAATCACAACAACAGTCGCCTCAAGGCGCTTTATATTGTAAGGTAGACGCTCCAATAATACATACAGAGAAAAACCCAACAATCATATGACCCCCTATGAGCAGCACTTTGGCGACAGTGGGAAGGAAAAACTCCCTTTTAACAGGAAGAAACCTCCGGCAGAACCAGGCTCAGGGAGGGGCGGGGCCATCTGCTGTGATTGGTTGGGGTGAGAGAAGGAAGACCGGATAAAGACATGCTGTGGAAGAGAGACAGAGGTTAATAACAGATATGATTCAATGCAGAGAGGTCTGTTAACACATAGTGAGTGAAGAAGAAACACCCAATGCATCATGGGAATCCCCGGCAGCCTACATCTATTGCAGCATAACTAAGGGAGGATTCAGGGTCAGCTGGTCCAGCACTAAAAAGGAAAGTTTGAGGCCTAATCTTGAAATTACAAATAAAATTAAAATAAATCTTTACTTATAAATGAGCACAGGCTGTGATACCTCTCACCTAATGAGCTTTGTTTAATCAGTCTGAGGTTCTTCGTAGGTTTTTTTTAGCTTTCTATGCACTAAAAACCCAAAACAAAACAAAAGAAAGAAGAAAAACACTAAAAAAACCCCACTAACTCAATCTGAGGGACGAGTTAGTCCCTCAGATTGCGTTAGTGGGTCTGATGGAGATTCTGATGGAGGCTAAAAGCTCGGATGGCAACAGGGAAGGAAAGTGTGAGAAAATGAAAGAAAAAGCCAGTAAATTCTAAGGAAACTGGGAGATTTTAGAGAGTTGAGTGGCTGCACTGAGGTGAGAGCCTCACGCCTTTAATCTGTTGTTTTCAGTGATTATTTTTGAAAGATTTTCTGAGGTTGCTGTCAGAGCTGCAATCGTTGAATTGAAACTAGTTCAGAGTGCTGTAATCCTGCTGTACTCCACTGGGTACCAATCCAACTGGGACAGTTTATCTTGTTCAAAGTGTCAGACACGTTCTAGCGTCTCCGACTCGATGAACGAAGCTGCCGTTCTTTGAGTTACAACCTAACCTGGACACCTTGTCAGTAAGCTTACACAGAGGTGGAGGCTTTGCTCCGTTATTGCACCAACACCACCCTGTTACACATCAGTGTCTGTGCTAACAGGAAGGAGGCACCGGCTTGTTGCAATAAACGAACAAAATAACCAGGAAGAACCACAAAAACTCCACAATTTACCCTTCACAGTTTTAACGAACTCAAAAAGATTAACAATCTGTGCGTGTTCATCTCTGACTTCCAGCCGAGAGAAGAGTGTGTGTCTGTGTGTGTAAGTGTGTCTGTGTGTAAGTGTGTGTCTGTGTGTGTAAGTGTGTGTCTGTGTGTGTAAGTGTGTGTCTGTGTGTGTAAGTGTGTCTGTGTGTGTCTGTCTGTGTGTGTAAGTGTGTGTCTGTGTGTGTAAGTGTCTGTCTGTGTGTAAGTGTGTGTGTGTAAGTGTGTGTAAGTGTGTGTCTGTGTGTAAGTGTGTGTGTGTAAGTGTGTGTAAGTGTGTGTCTGTGTGTGTAAGTGTGTGTCTGTGTGTGTAAGTGTGTGTCTGTGTGTGTCTGTCTGTGTGTGTAAGTGTGTGTCTGTGTGTGTAAGTGTGTGTCTGTGTGTGTAAGTGTGTCTGTGTGTGTCTGTCTGTGTGTGTAAGTGTGTGTAAGTGTGTGTCTGTGTGTGTAAGTGTGTCTGTGTGTGTCTGTCTGTGTCTGTGTGTGTAAGTGTGTGTCTGTGTGTGTCTGTCTGTGTGTGGATTCCTTGAATAGTCTCTGGGTGGCTCACAGAGTTCACTTCTCTCTCCCTCACCACATGTACTCTAGATGAACTTTTATTATTCCCTCTGTATTCTACTCTGCACTCTACTCTGTACTCTACTGCAGCGGGTTCCAGAGGCGCATCCCACTCGCTGCTACGTTTGAAACATTTTACTTAAATAAAAAGTAACGAGTATGATTCACGTCTCCTCTGCTGTTCCCGCACTAACCCCACGGTAGTGATAATGTACGTGAAGCCCTCGCGGTGTCTCTGATTGGTTTGTTCACAGTCGTTTCATGACGCCCCGCAGGTGCGAAGCTGTGAATCAGCGTGGCGCGGTCCCTACCTTGGTCCCGATCTGGTTCCCGCACTGTCCCGCTTGGATGTGAACGATCTCCCTCATGGTTCCTCCGCGTGTGTCCGCTGAAGCTCTGCTGTGAGTCTGCGGAGCGGGAGCGCGCGTCCTGCTTCATCTTCTCCTCCTGTCAGGCGCGTTCACGTCACCACGCCCTGGGGGGGAGGAGTGGGGGTCACGGTCCAGTTTGTCCCAGTCAGCATGAACCTGTGTCCAGCAATGAGCTCACACTCACAGCAGAGCCCACTGCGTTTAAAACACCACCTGTCAGGTAAAACACGCGGACGCTCTCGGGCAGGCTGTGATCACTGTGGACAGTCTGCGTGAAACAGCTGGAGTGACGGAGGCTCCTCGTGGTTGTTCAGAAGAACAGCTGATAAAGGGGAAAGAATTTAAACTTACTACGAAATAAATGGCAGGAATTTATTTTGAAAACCTGACACTTTAACGCATCCTTGCGCATCTCTGTAAACTGCGGCTTTTATTTTGTAACTCCTACAATCTGATCACGCCGGTGAAGTACGTGGAGGATTTCATCCGGATATCCTGACATTTAAAATCATTTTTTAAATTCTTTTTATTGTGAAACTCTGACACGGCTGCGCAGATGAATTATCGTATAATTATTTTGAAAATCTGATACATGTTCAACTTTAACATATATCAGATTTTCAAAATAATTGCTTTGACAGTTAAAGCAAACACTCATGAGTAAACAGGTGTCCGCGGAGCTGGAAGCTGATTGAGCATGCGCAGACCGTCTCTCAGAGTGGGATGATGATGATGAAGCACGGTCAGCTGTTGCTGAGGCCAGCAGCAGTGTCAGTTTACAGCAAAGGCTGTAAAACAGGAGCTTTGCTCCGTGACCGATCCTCCTTCAGACACAGTGGCGGGGAGGAAGAGGAGGCGTGACCTACGTCACTCAGGAACCTGCAGCCGCATATGAAACAAAGAAAAGTGTCTGCACCACAGCCTCCACACATCCAACTCTGAAGGTCTCCTCCAGCCAACATGAAGCGCTGAGAGGTTTGGGTGTGCTGCCCCCTGCTGGAAGACTCGGAGAAACACAGGGAGCAGAATTAGCAACAGGAGACATTTTCTACATCCTGTCTGAAAAAACCAAAGTAAAGCTGTAAAAATGAACATAAAGCCAAGACAAAAACGGGAGTTCCTCTGATGTCCAGCAGAGGCAGCAGTGAGCCAGTCCTCAGACTGCCACGTTAAAACTTTACAGCAGAATTAAACATGTTTACAGCCTGATACACAAACTGTCCCCTTTATAACACCTGTGCAGTACGAATGCTTTAATAACTCACCTGTTTCAATTGGAGTTTGCATTATTAGGGGCGTGGCAGCTCGATAACCAGGTTCACCAGTGTTACCATCACCTCGGAGTCTTTGTGGAGGGTAAAGTTCTCCTTCTGAAATGCGTCTGGTGAGATTCGAGGCTCTGTGGACTTTGGAACAAACCTGATCAGGGACAAGCAGATTTCTCCTGGACCCACTGATACACTTAAAACAAGCCAAACTGTGACAGAATGATGGAGGGTGGTTTCAGAAACCGTCCCATCCATCACAGCTTCAGAGGGTTTCAGGACATCCAGACCTGCAGCTGCAGCAGACAAAATGTTTATACTTCAGTTTTTATTTTATTGTCACTTTTTAAAAAAGGAACTTACATATTCAAACGTTTTTATTTTCAAACACTTTTAATCAAAAACCGTCAAAACGTCTCACAAACACAGACTCTTTATCTCAGCGGTCCAAAGCTCCTCCGTCCTGCGTCGCCTCCAACACCATCACAGGTCAGAGAGGAGAGCCTCCGTCAGACGGAGCACAGGCGCGCTCAGCTTTGTGTCCATGTGATGAAACACCTGAAACCGTTTAGTCCAGCTTTACTTCCTCAGACTGGCGCCGAGCAGAGCGTCTACGCCACGGCGGGGATAAAGTACTGCAGCGACATGTCTTCATGCAGCAGAATCAGGTGGAGGACGCTCTGATGGACGATGTCTGAGGAGGACGAGAGAGAAATGTGTTAAACTGTGACGTGGATTAGACCCCGGTGGGTTTTGTCCTGAGTGCGAACATGTGAGGGGAGACTCACTGCACATGGCCTTGCTGGGGTTGACCTGCTGCCCCACGAGGAACTGCTGCAGCCTCCTGATGTCCACCCTGGCCTCCACCATGCTCTCCGGGTCCCTGCTCTGAGACGGGCCGCCATCCTGGGAGGCGTCATCGCCTGGAGGGACGGAGGAGCAATGTATGAAAAGTATGGCCCACAGCTGATACACTGACAATCAGTAATTATTAAATATAAACGAGGCTCTCAGCAGCAGGTGGAGGGTGAGACTTTAGGCCCCGCCCCCCAGAATTAACTGGTTATCAGGGATGTGACGTGATGACTGAGCTCATCCGTCAGCAGGTCCGAGCTGCTCGTGGAGCTAAAGCGTGTTTTTACCCCACGGAGGGTTCCCCAGGTCTCTGAAGTGAGTCGTCACGGAAACCAGATCGGTCTCAATCTTCAGGTTCATCTCGCCGTTCAGGTTGGCTTCGATTACCTGACACACACACACACACACACACACACACACACACACGGACGCACACACACACGCACACACACACACACACACACACACACGCGCACACACACACACACACACACACGCACACACAGACACACACGCACACACACACACACACACACACACACACACACACACGCACACACAGACACACACGCACACACACACACACACAATAATGTTCAGGCGTTGGTTCTCCTGAAGACGTTAAGGTCTCTTTAAAGTTGATTTTTCATGTCTTTGAAGGTCATCCAGTTTTGGAAGAAAGAAAGTGACTCTGTTGATCTGATTGATTTGGTTTCATTCTATAATGATGGACTTAGTTTTCTATGAAGGTTTGAACTTTGTTTAAACAAGAGAGAAAATGTTGATGCCTGCTGGAGAAAAGTGTATAAAGTGTGCAGTGAAACATCTATAATAATTCACTGCTACTTCACGGATTTCACCTGTCGCGGGTTATTTTTAGATCGTAACTCCCGCGATAAACGAGGGGCTGCTGTATTTCACTAATTCAGCGCACAAACACTAGGTGGCAGTGTTTTCCTCTTGGAGTTGACTCAGTGTCAGAGTCACTGCTGGAGGTGTTTATGAAAGCTGAAATGAGGCTTCTTGAAAAGTTCCCATTGGTCACAGCGAGGATTTAACACAGAGCTGTAACGCCTGCTGACGTCTTAACACCTTCACTTCCTGTCCGACTGCAGGTAAAGACATGAAAACGCTCCAAATATTTCAGCATATTTCATCTAAACATCTAAAGCGACATAAGGCTTCAGGTTCTGTGTGATCACCTGTCGCAGGTAACACGAGGTTTAAATATGTAATTATTTTCATCTGACATCTTGGCTTCTCGGGAAAAGATGACACAAACATCGTGTTCACATTCAGTTCAATATTTCTACATCGAGCCGGGCGGAGGGCTGACATACAGGAAGACGCCTTTTCACGTATTTCAAAATAAAGGAGTTTACCGTTATGCTAAAAACATGCCGGACAGTTTGTTACACAAACGCGGCGACAAATGTGACTGAAATGACCCAAATCCAGAGAAATAAAGCTGCAGCTCCTCTCTGCATGAGTCCGTGTTTGATCTGAACATGTTTAACCTCCTACCAGGAAGTTGGAGAGGTTCTTCATCCTGTCCACGATGTTCTTCATGGTCTTCAGGGGAGGGAGGTAGATGCTGACCTGCAGTGACACAACCGTGATGAAAAGGCAGCTCTCATAAAAAGGATGATTTGGTGTTCGGCAGCTTCACTTACATCAAAGTCCGGCATGCTCGGCTCTTTGAACTCGTGCCACAGTCTCCGGGGGATGACGTCAACGGGGACGTCGTGAGTGACGACTCGACTGACGCTGGACAGGGTGGGCTGGGCGGCACAGAGGAAGAGGGCTCAAGTTTCTCAGATTAAAGGTTCAAATGAGTTTTAAAAGCAGCTAAAGATGAGCCAGTATGAGCTGTCTTCAGCTCTGCTTTTGGCTTCTATATCTGACTCGTGTTTAGTTTCCTCTCAGGGTTTGGGCGACACCTCGGCTTTATTGTTTTCTGGCCTTGGTTCACACTGGAGTGCCACGTTTCTTCATGACTGAATGATTAATCTAACTTTGATAAACCTGTGGCTGGATTCTGGTTCGGAGAGCCGACCGTAGATGAATGTATCCCCAGACGCAGCGCATCTCCTAATGTTATGAATAATAGGCTAAAATTAAACGTATGATTCGAGCTGTGGCAGAGACAAAGACGTCTCAGGTGAACTTGTTGCTGACTGTGAGTTGTTCTCAGGCGCTCTCACCAGCTCGGCGGCGATGGTGAGGCAGGGGCAGTGCTTCTTGGTCAGTTTGACTTTGACCGCCTTGGCGTTCTGGACCGTCTTCAGGGCTCTGGACAGATTCTCCGGAGTCACCTCCAGACAGATCTCGTTGTCCTCGGAGGACACGCCCTCCATCTGGTACTCGTCGAAGAAGTTGGCCTGCGCGAGGAAGGACGGGATCAGGGTCATTTATTACGGTCCTGATCATCTCAGACTCGTTCCTGAGTTTATTTTCTTAGCAGCTGGAAGCCGAAGCGTCGGCTCTCACCTGTGACAGCTCACACCACATGCTGACGCCGCCGTTGGCCACTTTACCGGACAGAACGAAGAACAGGTTGTCCGGCGTCAGCCGCAGGACGCACATCTTTGTCAGCTTTGAGATGGTGGTGACGACTCCTGGTGAGAAAGATCAGAGGTGTGAATCGGGAGAAATATTTAATCAGTCACACGCAGACTCGGTTAGTTTTAATAATAGTTTACTTTAATCAGATCTCTGATCTGCACTTCTGAAAAACTTGATCGCGATAAACACACTAAAAACAATAAATCTACAGTTAATATTACAACTGTTGAAAACTAAGTAAAACTAAACATTTCAACAGTAAAACTGACTTTAAACAACAAAAATTAGCTGAAAACTTGAAGTGGAAAACCTTTTACAGAGCCGGTAAATAACAGATTACTCACGCAGCATAAACATATAGCTGATATTTTTGTGGTAATTAATCATGACTCATTAGGCCTGCACCAGACTCCATGTAGATTTTGTTAAATTTAGATAACAGTAATCAGTCTGCGGCTCTTTGAGCACATGCTGTAAGCCGAACTACAGACTTTTCCTATTATGTCAGAAACGCTAAAGAAAGAACAAAGTCCCGCATCGGGAACTTTTAATTAGATGTAATTTTATTTTTTACAGTTTGTGTGCAGCATTTGGAGGGAAGCTAACAGCTTAGCTTCGGCTCTCGGCACAAACAGATGTTTCACACTCACGGGTGAAGTGGTTCAAACAGGCGATGTCGATGATTTTCCCCCGAAACTTCATTTTTTCGTCCCGACAGCAGAATTTAATCTTCCGTTTTGACTTCAGGCGGGGAACTTTTTGATTTGTTTGGTCCGTCTGTGTCTACGGTCCGGCGGAAACAATAGCCACCTGGAAGCTGTTAATTGTTCCGCCCAACGAAAGAAGAAAACAACCAGCAGTGGCCCGGGGACCACAACAGGACCCCTTAAATGGTCTGTACAGAGGCAGAAAACTGTAGCAGAGTCACCGGTTCCTGGTGCGCTTTATATTTTTACTTACATACTGAAATCAGACATTTTACGCTGTTCATCATCTTTTTGTAACTGAGCTACAAAATAACTTCACAGGCATGTTTGGCAGCTTTCACTTAATTTCAGCTTTTTGGTGAAAACTTTCAGAATGTTTTTCACACAAAGATATGATGTCTCGTTTTTATATGTAACATTTATACACCCTCGTTGTAGACCAAATAAAACACAAAAAACCCTCAGAAATAGCAGCCTGTGCATGCTGCGGCTCCTTTTTACTTTGTGATGTAATATTAGGATCTTATCAAAAAATTATACTCAGACAATCCTGTAAAAACAGGCTTTAGAAGTTTAGGTTCCAGAGAAAAAAGTCAACAACTTTTAAAAACCTTATTGTGGGCCAAAAAAACAAAACAAACATTATATATATATGGAGTGCTGCCAGACACTCCACGAGCGTCTGGCAGCACAAATGAACCAGCTGCTAGTTAACGAGAGACACCCGGAATGGCTAACCGAAGGTCGAACGGTCCTGATCCCCAAGGACCCCAAGAAGGGACCAGTCCCCTCCAACTACCGACCAATAACCTGCCTCAGTACTACATGGAAGCTCCTGTCAGGCATCATATCGGCTAAGATGAACAGGCACATGGGTCAATACATGAGCGGGACACAGAAAGGAATTGGCAAGAACACCAGAGGCGCAAAACACCAGCTACTGGTAGACAGAACAATCAGCCGAGACTGCAAGACCAGACTGACCAACCTGTGCACTGCCTGGATTGATTACAAGAAGGCCTATGACTCAGTGCCCCACAGCTGGATACTGGAATGCCTAGAATTGTACAAGATCAATGGGACCCTAAGAGCCTTCATCAGGAACTCAATGGGGATATGGCGTACAACACTAGAGGCCAACTCCAAGCCCATAGCACAAGTCACCATCAAGTGCGGGATCTACCAAGGAGATGCTCTGTCCCCACTGCTGTTCTGCATAGGCCTGAACCCCCTCAGTGAGATCATTAACAAGACTGGCTACGGATACCGACTACGGAACGGAGCAGTTGTCAGCCATAGGGATGGGTATCGAAAACCGGTTCTTGTTGAGAACCGGTTCCCACTGTTTCACTTCCTTGGAATTGTTTGCCATTTTTGCAAATGATTCCCTTATCGATTCCAGTCGCCCCGAATGACGTCACCACGTTGCGGAGCGTCATTTACCTGGCAGGAAACACGGCGCCTAAGCGGCTCAAACGCTCAAAAGTTTGGTTATACTTTACGAAATCGGATGACAACAGGGCAACTTGCAATACTTGCAAAGCAGATACTTCATTTAAGGGAGGAAACACTACGAATATGCAAAAGCATTTGCTCACAAAACGCGTGATAACCTTAAATGAATGTCGTGTTTTTAATTCCGCTCCGGACTCGTGAATCTCAACCCAGCAGCAGCGGTAACGTTTGCACGTCCTCTCCCGTTAATGCGGCAGGTAAATAAGATAAGATAGATAAGATAAGATAAGATAACCTTTATTAGTCCCACACGTGGGAAATTTGTTTTGTCACAGCAGGAAGTGGACAGTGCAAAAGTTATGACGCAAAAATTAGAATACAATAAGAATAAATACAGTACACAGCTGTACAGAATAGAATAAAATAATATACTATATACAGTAGAATAAAATAGAATAAAAATATACAATAAGATAAAAATAGAATACGAATGCTATATACAACTGAGTAAAAATACAACGATGACAGAAAGGATTATTGCACTTAGTGTTATTGCATATGTGTGGATGTGTGTGTTTGTTCAGTTAAAGTCTTTGTTGTGGAGTCTGACAGCAGTGGGGAGGAAAGACCTGCGAAATCTCTCCGTCCCACACCGTGGGTGCCGCAGTCTCCCACTGAAGGAGCTGCTCAGTGCTGTCACAGTCTGCTGCATGGGGTGGGAGATGTTGTCCAACAGGGATGACAGCTTAGCCGCCGTTCTCCTGTCACTCACCACCTCCACTGGGTCCAGAGGGCATCCTAGAACAGAGCTGGCCCTTCGGATCACCTAATCAACTAACAGTGCATATTATGTTAGCGCAATCTGCCTTATTACAAACCTGCCATTACTGTGCATTTAGTGACCATGATGAGAGAGACAGACAGAGTCTGGCTCAGATGCTGGCAGTTCTCGCTGCAGTCTACCGGTAGCGTCTCCTTTCAGGCCAGGATAGACGAACGTCACCGAGCAGAGACTCAGTTTGTGGTAAAAGGCTTGAACCCATTTGCCACAGCAGATGCCCCCGATTTTAGGTAAGTGAATGTGTTAAATTGTAGGCAGGGACATTACTGGATATTCTTGTGTAACTGCTACAGAATAATTTATGTTATACTTTGTTATTGCTACAGAAGAATATTTATTTTATTATTTTACATTTACAATGTTTTTTCCCGGGCACCCTGTGACACCCCATTGAAGAGCCGTAGGCTGGATCTCTTAAGATCTCACTGTTGGGTTTGTAAGGCCATGTTACTCCTAAATTTCTATCTTATTCAAAGAGAAGATATAAAACAAAGTTCTAAGTTAATTGAACTTAGTGTTCTCCTTTTTTAAAAAGAATCGATAAAGAATCGAATCGTTAAACAGAATCGAAAATGGAATCGGAATTGTGAAAATCTTATCAATACCCATCCCTAGTCAGCCACCTCCTGTACATGGATGACATCAAGCTGTATGCCAAGAGTGAACGAGACATCGATTCACTGATCCACACTACCAGGCTATACAGCAATGACATTGGAATGTCGTTCGGACTGGAGAAGTGTAGTCGGATGGTAACAAAGAGAGGGAAGGTAGTCAGAACTGAGGGGATCGAACTACCAGAAGGCAACATTCCAGACATAGAGGACAGTTACAAGTACCTGGGGATCTCGCAGGCGAATGGGAACCATGAAGAGGCCGCTAGAAAGGCTGCAACCACCAAGTACCTGCAGAGGGTCAGGCAAGTCCTGAGGAGTCAGCTGAATGGTAAGAACAAGATCCGGGCCATCAACACGTACGCCCTGCCCGTGATCAGGTACCCTGCTGGGGTAATAGGCTGGCCAAAGGAGGAGATAGAAGCCACTGACATAAAGACAAGAAAGCTCCTTACCATGCATGGAGGGTTTCACCCCAAGTCCAGCACCCTGAGGCTGTACGCTAAGCGGAAGGAAGGGGGCCGGGGACTGGTGAGTGTCAGCACCACAGTCCAGGATGAGACAACAAACATCCAAGAATAAATTAGGAAGATGGCCCCAACTGACCGAGTGCTCAGTGAATACCTCAGGCAGCAGAAACCCAAGAAAGAGGAGGGAGACGAGGAACCATCATGGAAGGACAGGCCCCTGCACGGTATGTACCACCGGCAGATAGAGGAGGTGGCTGATATCCAGAAATCCTACCAGTGGCTGGACAAAGCTGGACTGAAAGACAGCACAGAGGCACTAATCATGGCAGCACAAGAACAAGCTCTGAGTACAAGATCCATAGAGGCTGGGGTCTATCACACCAGGCAAGACCCCAGGTGCAGGCTGTGTAAAGATGCCCCAGAGACAATCCAGCACATAACAGCAGGGTGCAAGATGAAAAAAAAAAAAAAAAAAAAAAAAAATTGACAGCGTCTCTACCACCTCAGACGCTTGAGAGACTTCCAACTGCCCTCCAAGGTGCTCAGGAACTTTTACTCGTGCACCATAGAGAGCATCCTGACGGGAAACATCTCAACCTGGTTCGGGAACAGCACCATGCAGGACAGACGAGCTCTACAGAGGGTTGTGCGGTCAGCTGAGCGCACCATCCGCTCCGAGCTCCCTGACCTGCACTCAATCTACAGCAGGCGGTGCTGGACCAAGGCCAGGAAGATGGTGAAGGACCTCAGCCATCCCAACAACAGACTGTTCTCTCTGTTGAGGTCAGGAAAGCGATTCCGCTCCCTGAAGACCAACACAGAGAGACTGAGGAGGAGCTTCTTCCCGCAGGCGATACGGTCTCTCAATCACACCACCACACAGTACTGACCCACACATATAGTTCTTACACACACACTGGACTTTCTGGACTTTGGTTTTGCACAACACTGGTCACTATATTCTTCATTTCCGGTTAATACTTGTACAGCTGCTGTTATTGTGTATATATTTATTTATATTTAGATTTCTTCATACATTCTTATATAGTTCTACATTGTGTATTTTGTTGTACAGTTATTTTATTTTCAACTTTAATTTATATATTTTATCTTATTCTTCCCAGTTAAATTTACCCTTCATTCTAATTTGTGTTGTACAGTTATTTCATTTTTAACCTTAATTTATATTTTATTCCTTCCTAGTTAAATTTACCCTTTTTAATTTTTCATATTTATTTCCTATCTTATTCATAGCCTTTTCCTTTTTTGTTCTCTTTAGGTCACGAGCAGTTGTCCAAGCATTTCACTACATATCGTACTGTGTATGACTGTGTACGTGACAAATAGAATTTGAATTTGAATTTGAATTTGATGCTAGCAGGCAAGGCATACATGGAACGCCATAACCAAGTGGCCGGCATAGTGTACAGGAACATCTGTGCCGAGTATAACCTGGAAGTCCCGAGGTCAAAATGGGAGATGCCCCCAAGGGTGGTGGAGAATGACCGAGCTAAGATCCTGTGGGACTTCCAGATACAGACGGACAAAATGGTGGTGGCTAACCAACCGGACATAGTGGTGGTAGACAAACAGAAGAAGACGGCCGTAGTGATCGATGTAGTGGTTCCGAATGTTTCTAAAAATAAGCAACTAAAATATTTGTGTCTCTTTACCAGCTGAGAAAAAAACACCTCAGTCAATCACAGTCGGCTGCAAACACACTTCCTTCCTTCCGTCCTGTGTGTTTGCTGACCTTTCTTTGTGTCAAAGTTCATTAGTTTCTGTTAGAAAAATAAAGGCTTGATTCTTGTTTATTCTCTCACCAAATTAAAATGATCTCCTGTAATCTGCAGGCTCATTTGTTGTGAAACAAAAGCATTCCAGCTCTACAAGCTGCTTACGGATCTGGATTGGAGTCAGTTTGGAGATTTTCTCTGAGCACAGACGCTGAGAGGGCAGAAGCACTTCAGGTCATCTCATAGAAGTGTGAATAAAACAACTGATTTTCACTCCAAATGTTGTTTAAATGAATCAGCAATTGAAGGGCCAACAGAGACAGCGATGCGTAATAGGAGGAAAACCCATCAGACTTGCATTTAAGAACTGGCTTCGTATTTTACACAGGTTGCTATTTGCCCTTTTTAAAAAACAAAACAAAGCTTTAACCCCGACTTGTCCCTTCCTCATCACTTTAGACCAATTTAAAAATTTCCTTTTATCTCCAAAATTTTAGAAAAAGTGTTGGCCAACCAGCTTCCAGTGTTTCTACCTGCTTATTGCATTTGAGATGAGTTTCTGTCAGTTACTCAAACAGCCCTGCTCAGAGTTTATGATCATAATTTAATTCACAGAAATGCAGGTGAATATTTGGTTCTTGCTCTGTTGGGTCTTTCTGTTGTCTTTAAGCAATGGCTTGCGTATCTCTTGACCCATTTAAGGGGCCCAAGCCCCAGTTTAGGAACCCGCTGACTCTACATAAAGTACGTAAATCTTCTCTGAAATGTGGCTGAGGTTTCACAGTAACGTTCACACTTGATCTTGATTTGCATACCCTTGGTATGTTGTTCTTTGTTTGTAATTATGGGTCAGATGTGAAGCTAAAACCCTTCTTGTCTCATTGATATCAGTTTTGTTTTGAGAATAAAGTTATTCCATCTGATCCCTGCTATTTATTCGTCTCTGTCTATCTTTTTTTTATACCCTTTTTAAATTATTTTTGCAGCATTCATTCGTTTTAATTGGATGCCTACATGATCCTTCATCCTATTGGCTCTCTGCTCTTTATTGGTGACCAATCACAGGCTGTCATTCTTCATGGATTCTCCGTAGTTCCTCTCAGCTGCCTCTGGCTGCAGCAGCTTTGCTTCAGCGTGCTGTCTGACTGTTTGAATCTTTGACTTCACGATGGCACCGCTGTCCATCCAGGCCGGAGTGAAATACGCCAAAACGCTGCTGCCAGAGACTCTGATGAGGTGAGTTTTTTAAATGTTATCAAAACTTAAAGTTGAGTTTTATAAATTCAGTTTAGTTATTGTAAATCTGGGGATTAGACAAATATTGGCAATTTCACTCAAACCAGCTGTGCGTCAAATTGTATCCAGGACATTTTTAGACTTTGCAGAGGAAGCTGTGTGTGTGCAGAACTGCAGAAGAACAATGGAAGCCACTCAGTAAATAGGATTGCTGAACCTTTGAAATAGTGAAAGCAGCTGAGAGGGTTTTTATAGATGTAAGTCTGAGGTTATTAAAACCTCCGACTTGACTATAAGATTTCAAACTGTAATGCAGTGAACTTTGAATGACCTGCAGGTCCGTGTCCACAGTCCAGACCATCTCTCGACACATGCTGCCCCTAAATCAGCCTCGCTGTTTCAGAGTGTGCACATACAGCCGGATGCGGCGGCGAAGTTTGACTGCGTCTTCTCTAGATGAGCTCCTGGAGCAGGTAAAAACAACCTGTAAACTCTCTTAGACAATAAGCAGTAGTGTGCATAAGTCTTGAGCCAGCTCTCATTTCTTCATATTTTGTTAAGAAAAGGAGAAACAGGTGCAAACATGGAAAAATATTAAATAAGGCAAAAACAGTTTGTACAATTTAAACACACTTTAAATTCAATATTTGGTATGATTACCTTTATTCGTCATTACAACCTGAACCCCTTTGGTCACCTTTTTAGTTTCTTTAAGCAGTCTTTAGGAACAGTGCAGCGTTCGATACTATTGACCTTAATATTTTACTACGGAGATTAAACAGGATGTAGGTATTAAAAGGTGTTTGAATAACTTTGATCATGAAAATCTTCTTCAAACACCAAAGTTATTTTTAACTTACACGCTTGGACCAGTTCTGTTCACATTATACATCCTTCCCTTGGGCACTATTATTAGAAGGCATAGCGTACATTCTCACTGCTATCCAGAAATATCCTGTCTCAGAGTGACGCGGAAAAACTAGTTCATGCATTTATTACTTCCAGGCTGGACGACTGTAATTCATTATTATCAGGAAGTCCTAAAAACTCCCTGAAAAGCCTTCAGCTGATCCAAAATGCTGCAGCAAGAGTCCTGACTAGAAACTAGAAACTAGGGACTAGAAACAGCAGATTTCTCCTGTAGTGGCTTCCCTTCATTGGCTTCCTGTTTATTAAAGAATAAAATTTAAAATCATTATTCTTACATACAAGGTCTTGAATAAGCAGGCCCTTGAACACCTCACAGCTTATTTATGAATCTGTACCATCAACATCGTCCTGATGCATGCTTTTTTTTTTTTTTTTTTTTGCCTGTCCCGTTTGGATCTTTAGCCGTCAGAATTGGTGTCTGAAGGCCAAGAAAGATGGCAAGCGGATTTACTTTACCAAGTGGATCATCATGGCCATATTGGTCCATTTGATTGACCTTTATTATAATTATGTATTTATTTTATTTTCATTTTTTAAACACGGGACAGACATGACTGGGGGATAGGACAGGGAGAAAGAATGAAAGAAAGAGAGGGAGAGAAAGAAAAATAGAGGAGAGAGAAGAGACGGTGAGAAAGGGGGGAAGAAAGAAAAACAAACAAAACACCTGGATCACCTGTATGGAGATAAAAAACCAGAAGAGAAAACAAACAAAAAAGAGCAACATAATAAAAACAGCACCATCACAATAAACTGGCTAACAATAGATAACAGTAGATACTTTAATTTCACCTGTTGAGAAAGAAAAAAGAAAACAAGCAGAAGAGAACAAGAGTAATAGAATAAACAACATCACAATGATATATGGGAATATGACAGTAAATACTAAATGTTAAACATTATTGTGCAGCACATAAGATCAACAGAACACAGTGTGCTTTGAGGTAGGAGCCAAAAAGGGTGTAGTTTGTGGGTGTGATCACCCGTGTGTACACCTGTGAGCATGGACGCGCTTGTTTTTTTAAAAGGTTCCTTCATGTAATGATCTGCTAGAGGGTGTGGGGGGGCCACAGCCCCGTCCTCCAGTGGTTGTTGATCAGTGGTCATGAGAATTTGCATAATTAAGATTAAGGAACTGACCTCTCAGCCCATTGTTCCTTCAGTGGGCTGGTTTCAGTCATTATGCAAATGTCCTGTTTATAAGAATGAAACCTGCAGTCAGCTGAGACTGAAGACGTCACCTGATGATGACAAAACGTTTCTCCCACTAAAAACGCTACGCCCAGATGAACAGATTTAATTTTTTGCGATACCATCAACATCTGTATAATGAGTGAATTGCTAAAAGAGATGACATACCATGCATCCAAAAGAGAAAGTGGGAGGGTAGGTAAGGGAATTTTGAGGACTTCAAATTCTACTACAAGGCATGAGTTCAGGTTGAAATGGCACTGGAATTATAGTGGAAAGCCTAATGATCAATGGTAACTTTATTTTTCTCAGTGGGAAACTTCAGTATGTCCACACAGCAAACAACATAAAGATTAAGAGCAGCCAAACCTTTAAACAGATCTGTTTACCCTAACCTCCTAACCCTAACACCTTCAGACAAATTACCATGTTATCATGTATTGTAGTGGCGTAATGGCAATGCAGATTGTTTATTTACTTGGGAGTTCACCTTGTAATTGGAAGGTTGCCGGTTCGAGCCCCGGCTCGGACAGTCTCGGTCGTTGTGCCCTTGGGCAAGACACTTCACCAGTTGCCTACTGGTGGTGGTCAGAGGGCCCGGTGGCGCCAGTGTCCGGCAGCCTCGCCTCTGTCAGTGCGCCCCAGGGTGGCTGTGGCTACAATGTAGCTCCATCACCAGTGTGTGAATGTGTGGACGACTGGTTGTGTAAAGCGCTTGGGGGTCTTTAGGGACTAGTAAAGCTATACAAATACAGGCCATTTACTTGTCTGGAGATTGAACAAGTAACACAAAAAATGATTCTGTCCTACACCTCCAGCCTCCAACATCTCCTTCTCATAATGGACGTGTGTCTTGATCTGGAAGAGAAGAGAAGACCCTACTTGACCCAGGGTTTTCAAATCAAGTGGTGGTCTAAGGAGCTTGGAAAGAAAAGTGTGAATACGTTTCACCTGTCATCCGAAAAGCTTCTTCAGTTCTGAAGATGCTTGAATTGAGGAAGCTGAAGAAGCTTCTGGAATGAGAGGTGAAACATCTTCAAGCAACTTAAAGAAGTTCAGACGCTTTTCTTTTCAAGCTCCTTAGACTGCGATGACCTGGATGACTGAAGACCTTCACAGACATATTAAGTGGTGGCAGTTACTAAGTATAAAGAGCAGCTTGTAAACATTGTCATTATAATAGAAGTGGGTAAGAATAAATCAGCAGAAGATATATGGAATGATGTGGTCACCCAGATTCATAAAGCCCTCCAAAGAACAAAACCAGGTAGAAAGTTTATGGACAAGCAAGGTAGTGAGTGACACTGAGAGAAGAACATAGCATTCCTGGAGACAGGAAATCATTCAACAAAGTGCCTCACGAACTCATCTGACCTGCACCTTGTCCCTGACATGTGTCACCATGAGTGTTGGTCAAGTTACTTGAAAAAAGTAATCAGTAACTAATTACTGATTACTCCCCCCAAAAAGTAATCCCGTTACTTTACTGATTACTTATTTTCAAAAGTAATTAATTACTTAGTTACTTAGTTACTTAGTTACTTTTTAAAAACACGATTTACAACCTGAAGAGGTAATAAAGTGATAGATCTTTCAGCCCAATTCTACTTTTTCTGCATAATCCATCATACAAAATGTAATCAAATGGAAAAGTCTTTTTTTTTAACTTGTTTTATCAGTTTTAATCTTTTAACTTTATGCATCAAGCAAAACATTTAATTATCTGCAACATTCTCTGACTTGAATAAATTAGTTTAACATTTAAACCTATTTTCTACACATTCCAGCACATAAAATAAAATATTTTTTGTGTTTTCACTCACTCTTTCAAATAGATGCAAGTAAAACACAGCAGAAAATAAATAAAGTCAAAGACTCAGCGGTCCTGTTGCTCTATTTTCACCTGTAAAGCAGGAGTGGGGTAGGCGGAGGGTTACCCTGGTGTAGGTGTGCTGCGGTCAGTTGAAGAGTCCGTGAGTTTCTCTGTGAGTTTCCCATTACGTCGTAGCTACTCGGTGCTTGCTCGGAAGTTTAGGGGTTTTTTTCGCTGTAAAAAGAAGTTTTCTTCCCACGCACGATGGACACTAATGTTTTTGTCACTTTTTATGGAATCAAACTCAAAGTAAGGTCAGTACTTCCACGCTTTAAACGCTGCACGCTCATACTTTCTCCTGCACTCGATATATGATCCATTGTTGATCTGCACACAGCTGCTGTCACCAACGTCGCACTTGCTTACGTCACTGTCATGAGACATTCTCGCAAAAAAAATCACGGTTTTAGTAATGCAGTAACGCAGCGTTCCTACGGGAAAGTAACGGTAATCTAATTACCGTTTTTGCAATAGTAATCCCTTACTTTACTCGTTACTTGAAAAAAGTAATCAGATTACAGTAACGCGTTACAAGTAACGCGTTACTGCCCATCTCTGGTCACCATGCACCTGTTAATCAAAGTGGCCACAACCCTACTAATGGTAGCTTTAGGCCTTAATTGAATTTGAACAGGTGAATCATAAAAACATTGTCATCCTGTACAGTTGTTATGAAGAGACGAAGAAATCATCAGATTCTGACTCTTTGAATTGATTCTCCTGTTTTGTGTCCCAGGCAGCGAGGGTGTTCATGATGTCCTACCAGTTCCTGACTCTGGTCCTGGAGGAGGATGGGACTGTGGTGGACTCAGAGGAGTTCTTCCAGTCACTGCCCAATAGCACACTGCTGATGGTGCTGGAGAAGGGGGAGATGTGGACAGAGAGCAAGGTGAGAGCAGAGATGATGTTCATCACTGCGGCTGAGTGTCTGTGTGCATTTATGAAGTGAGATGATCTCTCTTCACTGAGCCCAGGAGGGAAGTTCACACACTTCAGCAGCATGAAGAACAGACAGGAAACAGACAGGAAACAGACAGGAAATGGATCAGAACTTAAATAAATAATTCTTCTTAAATACGTGTTTTGTTGCCCAGAATAATGTAGCTTGTTTTTAAAAACACATAAAGTTAAAAAGCCGTTTACCCAAATCAAAATTTTCTGAACATGTTGGTGTTTCAGATTATTCCATGCTTTCGTCAGCCAAAGAAGAGTGGGATTGCCAAAGTGACCTTTGACCTCTACAAACTGCAGCCTAAAGACTTCCTGTGCTGCCTCGCCATCAGGGCCACAGTGTATGAGATGTACACACTCTCATACGACTTCAGATTCACCAGGATCAAACGCATCCTCAAGTAAGCCGAGCCTGATCACAGTAACAGTCTCAGCAGTGTTGTGCAAAGCCTGACTTTTTTCGTCTTTTCTAGTTATATGTAGTTCATACAGTGGGGCAAAAAAGTATTTAGTCAGCCACCGATTGTGCAAGTTCCCCCACCTAAAATGATGACAGAGGTCAGTAATTTGCACCAGAGGTACACTTCAACTGTGAGAGACAGAATGTGAAAAAAAATCCATGAATCCACATGGTAGGATTTGTAAAGAATTTATTGGTAAATCAGGGTGGAAAATAAGTATTTGGTCAATAACAAAAATACAACTCAATACTTTGTAACATAACCTTTGTTGGCAATAACAGAGGTCAAACGTTTACTATAGGTCTTTACCAGGTTTGCACACACAGTAGCTGCTATTTTGGCCCATTCCTCCATGCAGATCTTCTCGAGAGCAGTGATGTTTTGGGGCTGTCGCCGAGCAACACGGACTTTCAACTCCCGCCACAGATTTTCTATGGGGTTGAGGTCTGGAGACTGGCTAGGCCACTCCAGGACTTTCAAATGCTTCTTACGGAGCCACTCCTTTGTTGCCCGGGCGGTGTGTTTTGGATCATTGTCATGTTGGAAGACCCAGCCTCGTTTCATCTTCAAAGTTCTCACTGATGGAAGGAGGTTTTGGCTCAAAATCTCACGATACATGGGCCCATTCATTCTGTCCTTAACACGGATCAGTCGTCCTGTCCCCTTGGCAGAAAAACAGCCCCATAGCATGATGTTTCCACCCCCATGCTTCACAGTAGGTATGGTGTTCTTGGGATGCAACTCAGTATTCTTCTTCCTCCAAACACGACGAGTTGAGTTTATACCAAAAAGTTCTACTTTGGTTTCATCTGACCACATGACATTCTCCCAATCCTCTGCTGTATCATCCATGTGCTCTCTGGCAAACTTCAGACGGGCCTGGACATGCACTGGCTTCAGCAGCGGAACACGTCTGGCACTGCGGGATTTGATTCCCTGCCGTTGTAGTGTGTTACTGATGGTGACCTTTGTTACTTTGGTCCCAGCTCTCTGCAGGTCATTCACCAGGTCCCCCCGTGTGGTTCTGGGATCTTTGCTCACCGTTCTCATGATCATTTTGACCCCACGGGATGAGATCTTGCGTGGAGCCCCAGATCGAGGGAGATTATCAGTGGTCTTGTATGTCTTCCATTTTCTGATGATTGCTCCCACAGTTGATTTTTTCACACCAAGCTGCTTGCCTATTGTAGATTCACTGTTCCCAGTCTGGTGCAGGTCTACAATACTTTTCCTGGTGTCCTTCGAAAGCTCTTTGGTCTTGGCCATGGCGGAGTTTGGAGTCTGACTGTTTGAGGCTGTGGACAGGTGTCTTTTATACAGATGATGAGTTCAAACAGGTGCCATTCATACAGGTAACGAGTGGGGGACAGAAAAGCTTCTTACAGAAGACGTTACAGGTCTGTGAGAGCCAGAGATTTTCCTTGTTTGAGGTGACCAAATACTTATTTTCCACCCTGATTTACGAATAAATTCTTTACAAATCCTACCATGTGAATTCATGGATTTTTTTTTCACATTCTGTCTCTCACAGTTGAAGTGTACCTCTGGTGCAAATTACTGACCTCTGTCATCATTTTAGGTGGGGGAACTTGCACAATCGGTGGCTGACTAAATACTTTTTTGCCCCACTGTATTTTCAGTTTCCAGTCTGAATTGTTCAAAGCTTTCAAATTCATAACTGGCTAAGTTAACTTCTTGTGTACGTTTATATTTCTTACCTTTTCTCCAATTTTGACACAGAACTTTATGAACACTTTGCAGAAACTATCCAGTTATTACGAGGTACTTGCAAATAAAATTTGACATGGAAAATGTTAGGGTGTGCAGAACTTCTAATCCAGCTCCAACACAGGAGAACAGTTAGTGTCAGCACCACCTCCACAAGTGACTGTGGAGGTCTATTGTGTGGGGTGGAAGTCCTCTGCATCGCTGCTGCAGATCAAGGAAGATGGTGGTTCCTTTTTCTTTGTTTATTGGCCCTCCTGACTCTTCTTAACTCGCTGGTCATGCCTGGTACATAGACTTAAACTAATAACGCACTCAGGAACAATCCAGAATGGCACTCTGGCAGCTTCAGTGCAGATAAATCTGTTTCATGCATATAACTATGCATGGAGTTCATGTTTAATGTGGTGCACTCTGGCGGTGCTTCCAGATACTTGCTGTGTAGCAACACAATAATGACTTCACACAGCTTGCGTGAAGTCAAAAAAAGCTGTGGTTACGGCACTTCAGCATGTAGCCAGTGCTACAGTATCGAGCATACACAAAGTAAATTCAAATCCAACAATTCATAGAAAGATGTAAAAAAAGAGAACGAAAAGTAGATGAGTTAATTTTCAAAAGTAAGGACTGATCAGTCAGTGACATTTAATAAAGTGGAAATGTATCTTTAATATTGTCTTGAAAATTAATTAAAGTATAAATACTTCGATAAGTACTACATAGTTTAGTGCAGTCTACTTTAAGGTAAACTGGTCAGTGTGCAGTGATGTGTTAAAATATACAGTAATAAGCAATGTTGGACTGGTACAGAGCAGCTGTGGCGTTCATGGTCAGTGTTTGGTTACATCAAGGGTAGCAGACCTCACTTTAAATTTAAGGTGATGATGCTGATCAGAGTCACTGAATTCCAACTTTATGCTAGCTTTATTCAGTGTAGGCACTGGAAAACAGCCATAGTACCTCATGTAACATTGCTTATTATGAGTTTATTTGACTAAATTTTTCTGTCTCTATCTTCAGCTCGCTGTTGTGCTGCGTCACCTCTCTGACCAGACTAGCCGGACAACTGCTGCTCTGCACATCCTCCTCACTACTGCAGTTCACTGGAAATGCCTGCCGCTAAAGCCATGTCTCTTTGTGTTCAGCTGTTCATTCAGGCGGGTGTACTACAAAGGTGTTTAACACGCCCAGGCTTTCTTTGCGTTACCTCCCTCGACAAATCTTAGGGCCAAGACGCGGGGCAGCCCAAGCAGAGGAGCCTAGACATCCCTCTCTCCAGCCTCCAGTCTGGGGTGAGATTCAGGCATGTCCCCCAAGAAGGACATGCCTGGAATACCTCACTTAGGAGGTGCCCAGGAGGCATCCTAGTGAGATGTCCAAACCACCTCAATTGGATCCTTTCGTTGTGGTGAAGTAGCAGCTCTACTCAGAGCCCCCCCCAGAATGACCGAAATCCTCTCCCTATCTCTAAGGCCTGCTATATTCAAAACATATTTTCCCAGAACAGAATCTAAAATGACTTTAAACATGTAAATAAAATAATCAGTGAAAATGTAGCCATCCAGCTGAATTTGAAACCAATGCTCTGAGCATAACCTGCTCCCAACCAGGGTACGTGTTCATCATCAGTTACCATGGTGATTTAGCCAGGTAAAAAAAGAGCCAATTTCATGACACAGGAAACTCTGACTTTTGAGCTCCAGATAGCTCAAAAGAACATTAATCTGGCTTTGTAGTACACCCCTCTGCTGAGGTGGGACTGACTGTAATAAATGATCAGACCCTCAGTTTGTGTGTTTGAGACAAACTAGAGAAAACTTGTGTTTGATTTCCTCTGCCTGAATAAAGATCGTGTTTGAATTGTCTACATATGGATCACTTATGTGTGTGTTTCCATGGAAAGCTGAGAGCATTTCTAGTCTTTCTATCAGATCAGCGTTTTTTAAGAATGTTTCGTCTGATTTCAGCTGGAAAGATTTTTGTATTGAATGAGATTAAATTTGTTTTTGTAAATCAAATATCTGACTAATAAATCAACAACTCTGTGCCTGTTTGTGTTTTTCCATAGCACTTCATCCCCACAGACTGGAGTTCTGTATAGTGCCTCATCACTAAAGGGACAACTCCACTAGAGTTTAAATATCTGGGACGCTCCACCGTTTAATTTTAGAACTGAAGACGTTTCTTGGATGAAATCAACTGGTCCTAGCTAAAGATCCAACTGCTGTATTTCACAGGGAGGGAGAAGACGGAGTTCCTGTTCCCATTTAGAGGCAGAGTCACCCTCTACAATGTACGCAACAGACAATAGAGACATTTTTTTATTTTCCTTCTTTTTCTCTACTCTTGTTCTGCTTAACTGATTCAAGCTGAGTGCAAACAGGAGATGTATCACTGCTGTAACACCTGTAACATTCAGAAGTTGCCTCATTGTTCTGACACACACAACAAAACTATTAACTACACCACACACTAACTACACAAGATTTGCGCTAAACGTCGCAAATCTCTCACATCTCAAACACGCTGTCACTCCTAAAATTTCCCCCCATTTCTTAACAACTAGATGCCACGTTGCCATACCATTTTTTGATTGGTCGACATGGTACTTTTTTGGACGAATAGGAAAGGAAGAGGGGGGTGGGGGTTTGTTTTTGCTCACATACGGGGAGCGCTTTCGAGTCTTTATTTCTTATAAAACGCTGTTTTTACCGTTTCTTCCTGCAGTAAATATAAACAACGACAGTATTCAGGAAGAAAACCAAATACTGCAGATATTTTTATCATAACTCTGGTTTTACGTGGCCGATCAACACAATTTAAAAACTGGTATAAAGTCCTCACTTTTTCCGTCAATTGTTCCGTCTGTCCTGCTCACATCTCCAGTGGTTGTACACGTTGTCATTAACTCCACATCAGCCGCTTTGCTAGCTAAAACACCGGTGTCGGCACATAAGGACGCTGTCATAGCCTGTCAATGACGTTGATTGGCTGCGTACACGACTGTGAATTGCATTTTTGGCTGGACTATGGGATAAGGTGGCATCGTTCTAATCCCATACGGGAGCAGCCAGTCACTCACTGAGTAACACTGCAGAACAGAATTGTTAAAGTATTAATTTTAATTTCAATTCAGGTTAGATTTTTTTTTGTGCGCAGAGACCTGCCAGCAGTGCGCAATTGCACACGTGCGCAGTTTAGAGGGAACATTGGTGACAAGGCGTCTGGTTTCGTGTTCCAGGACCCGGGCCTGTAGGTAATGGTTAGGTTAAACCGTGCAAAAAACAATGCCCACCTGGCCTGTCTGACGTTCAGGCGCTTAGCCGCTTGGAGGTAGGCCAGGTTCTTGTGGTCCATCCACACGACAACAGGATGTTCGCTCCCCTCCAACCAGTGCCGCCACGCCTCCAGCCCCAACTTGATGGCAAGAAGCTCCCGGTCGCCCACGTCATAATTCCTTTCGGCCTGAGTGAGACGATGGGAGAAAAAGGCACAGGGGTGTAATTTACATTCCTGGCGTTGAGAGAGAACTGCCCCAACTCCCGAATCAGAAGCGTCCACTTCCACCACGAATGGCAGGGCGAGGTCAGCCTGGGCCAGGATGGGGGCCGAGGCGAACAGGCTCTTGAGACGGTCGAATGCTTGCTGAGCTGCCGGAGACCACAGGTACGGTTGTTTGGGCAATGTGAGTTGTGTGAGAGGCAATGCTACCTTATTGAAGTCCCGGATGAAACGTCTGCAGAAGTTGTTGAATCCCAGAAAACTTTGCAACTTCTTACGGGTGCCGGGAACAGGCCACTCCAACACAGCTTTGACCTTAGCCGGGTCCGCTCGCAACCGGCCCTGTTCAGTGATAAAACCCAGAAAAGAGACAGTTGAGGCATGAAATTCACATTTCTCCGCTTTACAAAACAGCCGATTCTCCAGCAGGCGGCGCAACACCAGTCTTACATGCTTAACATGCTCAGCTCTGGATCTGCAGAAAATCAGAATGTCGTCAAGATAAACAAACACGAAGTGGTTCAAAAAATCTCGTAGAACATCATTTACCAGGGCTTGGAAGACGGCAGGGGCGTTAGTGAGTCCAAACGGCATTACCAGGTACTCGAAGTGGCCCAGATGGGTGTTGAAGGCCGTCTTCCACTCGTCCCCCTCGCGGATGCGGACCAGGTGATAAGCATTGCGGAAATCAAGTTTGGTGAAATGGGTGGCCCCTTTAAGGAGTTCAAAAGCTGAGGCGTTCAGAGGTAGGGGATATTTGTTTTTGATAGTGATTTTGTTTAGTCCCCGATAGTCAATGCAGGGGCATAGGGTCTTATCCCTTTTTGTCAACAAAAAAGAAGCCTGCGCCCAAGGGAGCAGTGGAGGGGCGGATGATGCCAGCTGCCAGGGAGTCCGTAATGTAGCGCTCCATAGACTCGCACTCAGGTTTCGAGATACTATAGAGTCGGCTAGTGGGCAAGGGGGTGCCTGGGAGCAAATCAATCCCACAGTCGTACGGACGAGGGGGGGGCAGCGATTGGGCCCCGTCTTTGCTAAAGACTTGTCCTAGATCGTGATATTCGGCGGGCACGGTTGACAAGTCGGGGCGAGTGGGCGGCCCCGCAGGATCGTCTGACATGCAACCCGGCACCGCAGAGCGTAAACACTGCTCATGGCAACGGGTGCTCCACCCCACGATACATCCCTTGGCCCAATCAATCTGTGGATTGTGTCGCTGGAGCTGGGGGAATCCCAAAACTAAGGGTGTGTCAGGTGCCTTGAAGAGAAACAGGAACATCTGCTCAGTGTGATTGCCGGAGAGAGTGAGTGTGATTTCTTGAGTGCGGTGAGTGAGAGCAGCTAAGGGTCTGCCATTAAGCACTGACACTTGGAGCGCTTCAGGGAGAAGAACAACAGGCAAACCCATTTTGTGGGCAAAGCCTCATCTAAAAAACTTTGTTCAGGTCCTGAGTCTATTAGTGCATCACAAGAACGGGTGTGGGAAAGAAACCGTAATTTAGCGGGGCAGCTGAGGTGGAGGAATGTATTAACCGGTGCACCCATCAGTATCCCCACCTTTACTGACGGGCTGAGTCTTTTAGCTGTGAGGGACAGGCGTCCGCGAAATGCCCCTTCTTCCCGCACGCAAAACACTCACCCACCAGTTGTCTTCTGCTCTGGGTGAATTTAGTCCGTCCCAGCTGCGGTTCCTCCTCTCTCCACTCGAGAGACGGGAGTCCAGTCGGAACTCCTACGCCCCCTACTGACCATCGCCCATCTCCAGTCCGCCTGCCAAACTCCCGCATATGGTCGTCTAGACTGATACACATGTTAACCAGGGCGCTTAACAATTTAGGAAGCTCTTTAGTGGCCAACTCACGTTTGACATTCTCATTTAAGCTGTTTAGGAATGCTCCTCAGAGCGCCCTCTCCTCCCAGCCAGTCTCCTCGGCCAAGATCCAAAAGTAATAATAATAATAATGGATTGGATTTATATAGCGCTTTTCAAGGCACCCAAAGCACTTTACAATTCCACTATTCATTCACTCTCACATTCACACACTGGTGGAGGCAGCTACGGTTGTAGCCACAGCTGCCCTGGGGCAGACTGACAGAAGCGAGGCTGCCATGTCGCGCCATCGGCTCCACTGGCCAACACCAGTAGGCGGTAGGTGAAGTGTCTTGCCCAAGGACACAACGACCAGTACAGAGAGCCCAGGGATCGAACCAGCGACCTTCCGGTTACAGATATGCTTCCCAACCCCTTGAGCCACGGTCGCCCAAAAAGTCCACAGAGAAGTCTGCCACGCTCCACCGGCCCTGCTTTAAAGTAAACATGCGATGAGCAGCGCTGTCAGGGTTAGATCCTTTGTCAAACACACACCAAAATTTGCTCAAAAAAAATCACTATATGAGATGGAGGGCTGGGCACTCAGGGCTGCTTGAGCCCACAGCAGAGCTCGTCTGGTCATGAGCTCAACCATGAGGGTGATTTTGGCAATATCAGAGGCATAAGCTCGAGTCTGCTGCCTAAAAATCAGAGAGCATTGAGTCAAAAATCCCTGGCTTTTGTCCAAATCTCCACTGAATTTTTCAGGTACAGGTAATGTGTGTACCTACATTTAGAAGCTCTACTGGTGGTTGTGGTTGTGTAGGGGGCTCTGGTGGTTGAACGGGTGCTCTAGGTGTAGCAAGCAACATACCTTTCAGTTCAGATACCACTTGTAGTAGCGCGGACTGCTCCTCGGCAACATGCTGCAGCATCTTTTCATGTTGTTCCAACCGTACAGTTTGAAGCACGAGCTCGCGCTGGATGGGAATTGAGTCCGCTGAGTCCATTGCTGGCTGGATTGTTGGTCACGGGTAATGGGAAAATACGGACTCAGTCACGGAGCTCTGGATGCGAAGCAAACAGTGCGTTTATTTACAGTGCCCAAAAACAGTCTCAAAACACAAAGCGAAGTGCAAACTCCAACAGTGATCCTCTCCAAACTTCCAGTGGTGCGCAGGTGAGTTTCCAAAGTGATTATCCGAATGCGTGTCCTCCTCCGAGAGCTTAATTCCACGGGCTCCTCCTCTCCAACCTCCTGCTCTGTGTCTCTTCCTCCTATAAACGAGCAACAACAACAGGTGAGAAGGCTAGCCGGCTAAAGCTAAGTTGCAAGTAACAAACACTTTTAACTACCGAGCTTCAAGTACAATCCAGCGTCGACTGCCGTCTGGACACACAGTGCCTCAGCCCACGACGAAGGATGATTAGTGACAGCTGGGTGGCAAATTAGGTGCAGGTGTGTCAGCCGCTGGGTGGAGACTGTCGTGTTATTCAATTATACGCGGGTCCACTGTACGATTGATAACCACACTTTATTTTCTTGTTCTTGCTCTGCCCCCACATAACATAACATTCTATACAAAAACACACCGGTCTCGCCCTCTAGCTGCCATCAGCCTAACTACACTGACCGGCTGCATTAACATCTACTGTACAATGCAATTACACCACATCTCCCCTTTCTAGAATCAATGGGTAGACTACCATTGACTCACC